GGCCCCGGGCACAGCCCCCCGAGAGCCCCGGACCCGGGCACAGCCCCCCGAGAGCCCCGGAGCGACCCCGGGCACGGGCACAGCTCCCCGAAAGCCCCGGGAACGGGCACGGCCCCCCGACAGCCCCGGGGCACGGGCACGGCTCCAAGCACGGCCCCCCGACAGCCCCGGACCGGTCCCGGGCACGGGCACGGCCCCCCGAGAGTCCCGGGAACGGGCACGGGCACCCGAGAGCCCCGGAGTGACCCCGGGCACAGCCCCCCGAGAGCCCCGGAGTGATCCCGGGCACAGCCCCCCGAGAGCCCCGGACTTGGGCACGGCCCCGGGCACAGCCCCCCGAGAGCCCCGGGCACGGGCACGGCCCCTGAGAGCCCCGGAGCGACCCCGGGCACGGAGACGGGCTGCGAGTCCCGAGGGATCCCGCTCCGGGGGCAGCAGCGCGGGGCATCGCCCTTTCTGCCCACGCTTGGAGCTGGGATCTTCCCCAGCCTGCTGGCATCCCAAAATCCCTGGAAACTCAGGAATTCTCTGGGATTGTCAGCACAGGAGGGACGGGTATGGTTTTCTATCCCTTTCTGCCTGACCTCCATGCTGGGATCTTCCCTGCTGGGATCCCAAACTCCCTGGGAGGACAGGAATTCTCTGGGATTATCAGCACAGGAGGGATGGGCATGGTTTTCTATCCCTTTCTGCCTGAACTCAGAGCTGGGATCCCAAAAGGACGGGAATGCCAGGGATTCTCTGGGATCCAAGAAAACTGAGCCACCAGCACTCAGGGAAGGTTTGGAGGTGCAGGGTGAGGAGTGCAGGTGTGCTGGATGTGCCCGGCTGAGCTGGTCTTGCATTAAGGTTTCTTTTTTAATTTAAGAGGTGTTTTAAAAACCTGCTACCCAGGGTAGGGGGTTGGGAATTGGAGGAGCTTTAAGGTCCATTCCAACCCAAACCATGCTGGGATTCCAACGATTCAGGGAAGGAGGCTTGAAAGGCACCTGGCTGAGCAAGACAGAGTCTGGCTTTGGGGTGGTGTACAGAAAAACCAAGGGAAAACCAATTTCTGCAGCTTTTCCCAGGGGATGGGGGTGGCTGTTGGTCTGCAGGGCCAGTTTGGATCCAGCCCTGGGCCCAGCTTGGATCCAGCCCTGGGCCCAGTTTGGATCCAGCTCTGGGCCCAGTTTGGATCCAGCCCTAGGCCCAGTTTGGATCCAACCCCAGTCCCAGTTTGGATCCAGCTCTAATTCCAGTTTGGATCCAGCCCTGGGCCCAGTTTGGATCCAGCTCTAATTCCAGTTTGGATCCAGCCCTGGGCCCAGTTTGGATCCAGCTCTGGGCCCAGTTTGAATCCAACCCCAGTCCCAGTTTGGATCCAGCCCTGGGCCCAGTTTGGATCCAGCCCTGGGCCCAGTTTGGATCCAGCTCTGGGCCCAGTTTGAATCCAACCCCAGTCCCAGTTTGGATCCAGCCCCAGGCCCAGTTTGGATCCAGCCCTGGGCCCAGCTTGGATCCAGCTCTAATTCCAGTTTGGATCCAGCTCTAATTCCAGTTTGGATCCAGCCCTAGGCCCAGTTTGGATCCAGCCCTGGGCCCAGTTTAGATCCAGCCCTGGGCCCAGCTTGGATCCAGCCCTAATTCCAGTTTGGATCCAGCCCTGGGCCCAGTTTAGATCCAGCCCTGGACCCAGTTTGGATCCAGCTCTAATTCCAGTTTGGATCCAGCCTTAGTCCCAGTTTGGATCCATGCCTAGTCCCAGCTCAGGCTGTGCCTGCACAGCTCAGGGTGGTTTAATTAATCACAGATCATTTCTGCAGTGCCTCCCCATTGACCCCCACAGCAAACGAACTAATTACTCATTAAGGCAGAGAAGCTGTGGGGCAGGACAGCTCAGCACAGAGCTCTGCTCCCTGCTCTGGCCTGGGATTAATCCCTGAGCCCCTCGCTGGCCTCGTTACTCATTAACTCATTAACGGGGCAGAGCCAGCGAAGCTTTGGGATGGGGGGACCTCAGGGATCATCAATGCCAGGGCAGGGACACTCCCACTGTCCCAGGTGGATCCAACCCCAGTGTCCAGCCTGGCCTGGGGCACTGCCAGGGATCCAGGGGCAGCCACAGCAAATCTGGGAATTCCAGCCCAGCCAGGAATTCCTTGCCAAGATCCCAGCCCAAGCTCCCCTTTCCCAGTGGGAGCCATTCCCTGGCTCCTGTCCCTCTGTCCCTTGTCCCCAGCCCCTCTCCAGCTCTCCTGGAGCCCCTCCAGGGACTCTGAGCATTCCCTGGAATTTTCCCTTCTCCAGGAGAACATTCCCAGCTCTGCCAGCCTGGCTCCAGCCCTGGAGTGTGGGAATCCAGAGCTTCCCTCTGGCTGCCCTGGCAGGTCTGGGACCCTGGCAGGGGTCAGGAACCCCCCTGGACAGAGCCCCCAGAGACACTGGCTGTGATCTCTGTCCATGGAAAAGAGTTTTCAATCTTACAGGATCAATTACCAGCTCTGAGTGTTTGATATGAGTAATAATTAAGTGTGGCAAGGGTGCAAAAGTAAAATTTTAAGATTCTAAATTAGGAGTTCAAAAGAGACAAGATGGAGGAAATTGGGTGTATCTTGTCACTTTTTCTCCTTCTTCATGCCCTCCATGTTTCACTGTGGTGTTGGCATTGCTTCTTCTTTAGCAACAGAGCAGAAAGACAGAGGCTTTTTACGATCTCAGACTCTGTGAGGTCGCTGCCAGCTGAGCAGAGAGGGGTTTGCTGTTCCAGCACTCCCCAGCCCAGTCCTGCACACCCCAGCACAGCTCCAGGACACCCCAAAAGCTCCTGCCTCGTGCCTTTGCATGCTGAACGTGTCTCCAGGGGCAGCTCTGGGGCCGTGCGGTGTTGGAAATGCAGGTGAACCCGGTGGGGAAAATGCTGATGAACGATTTCTTTATTATAACTTTGTTATAATATATTAATATACTATTTAAAGGATATACTAAAACTACAAAGCCACTTTTAAAAATTACCGTATCTTTCTCACACCTCGTGCCCCTCTCTGCGAGCCCAGCCCCAGGTGGGTTGGATTGGCCATCAGCTCAAACAATCCTCACTAAAATCTAATTAAGCAATCACCCCAGGTAAGCAATTCTCCAGATACATTCCACATGGGAAAAACAAGGAGCAGAAATAGAAATTGTTTTCTCTTTCTTTCCTTGGTAAAAAAAAACATTGAAAGAGAGAAAAAGGTGCCCCCACATTGCAGGGTGGGGTCCCGTGTGGGCACCTGGGCACTGCCAGCCCTTTCCCCCTGGCAGGGGGAGGTGCCCCCGGGGCCCTGGGGCTGCTGGGGTGGGCGATGTCACCCCAAAATGCTGCACAGACACCTCCACTCGTGCCCCAAGCTGCTCTTGAGGCCCTCACGGGGCTTTCTGGAGCGTTTTTTAGGGATTTCAGCCCAGGAGGCACCTGCACAGCTCCTGCTGCAGCTTCATCCCCCTGCTCGGGGGGGAGGAAAAGGGATAAAACCTGCACAGGGTCCTGCTGCAGGGAGGGAACTTGTGGAATTTGGGGGGAAATTACAAAATGAGTAATTAAATGAGTGTCCGAGGGGTCGGTGCGGAGGCAGGGGGAGGCTGGAACCCCTCTCCATCCCGCTGCTTTCCAGAGGCATTCCCGGCTCTGTTCCCCGGGCTCGGGACGCCCTCAGCTGGCGGCTGGAAATGTGGGAAAGGGCAGGAAAACTTCCATGGCATTTTGCCTTTTTATCTTACGGGCACGGGCTGGGTCCCGGGAAGGGAACACGGGAACCCAGGGGATGCTGGTACCCAGGGGTTGTTGGCACCCAGGGGATGCTGGCACCCAGGGGATGCTGGTACCCGGAGAACCCTGGCACCCAGGGGATGCTGGTACCCAGGGGATTTTGGTACCCAGGGAATGCTGGTACCCAGAGAACCCTGGCACCCAGGGGATGTTGGCACCCAGGGGATGTTGGCACCCAGGGGATTTTAGTACCCAGGGGATGCTGGCACCCAAAGATGCTGGTCTGTGGGGGATGTTGATACCCAGGGGGATGCAGGTACCTGGAGGATGCTGCTGCCCAGGGAATGGTGATGCCCAGGGGATGCTGGCACCTGGGAGTGCTGGTACCTGATGGATGTTGGTACCCAGGTGATATTTGTACCCAGGGGATGCTGGTACTTCGTGGATGTTGGTACCCAGGGGATGTTGGTACCCAGGTGTGGAATCTTCATTTCTTTCTGCCAATGCCAGATTAAACGTGTGAGATGTTGTTTCTTGTTGGGACTCCGATGTTTATCAGCTCTTATCTCTGTCCCAGTCTCACAAACCCTGAATTCTGCAGAATTTCACTCCAACAAACTAAAAATGGAGCCCCGTCTCTCTCTCTCTCTCTCTCTCTCTCTGAGGCCTTTTAAGGATAAACTGTCCAATATCCAGAGGGATATTTGGGGATGTCACTACCCAGAGGGATATTTGGGGATGTCAGTGCCCAGAGGGATATTTGGGGATGTCACTACCCAGAGGGATATTTGGGGATGTCACTACCCAGAGGGATATTTGGGGATGTCGGTACCCAGAGGGATATTTGGGGATGTTGGCGCCCAGAGGGATATTTGGGGATGTTGGTGCCCAGAGGGATATTTGGGGATGTCACTACCCAGAGGGATATTTGGGGATGTTGGTACCCAGAGGGATATTTGGGGATGTCGGTGCCCAGAGGGATATTTGGGGATGTCACTACCCAGAGGGATATTTGGGGATTCTGACACCCAGAGAGATATTAGGGGATGTTGGTGCCCAGAGGGATATTTGGGGATGTTGGTACCCAGAGGGATATTTGGGGATGTTGGTGCCCAGAGGGATATTTGGGGATGTTGGCACCCAGAGGGATATTTGGGGATGTTGGTACCCAGAGGGATATTTGGGGATGTCAGTGCCCAGAGGGATATTTGGGGATGTCGGTGATTCAGGAATTCACCCACCCTCAAAGACACAGCAGAAACCCCAGAGCAGACATGTTTCATTATTTTAATGATCTTAGATTTTTCACAATTGGAGAGCCAGGGGGACAAAATCTGAGCTGCAGGGTTGGGGTGGAGGGGGCACAGAGGGGCACTGGGCATTTCCAGGGCACACAGGGCTTCAAAACGACTTTTCTGCATCAGCTTTCCAGAGGAAAAGCCTCTGTGTGTCTGTGCCTGCTGGAATCTGATGGGAAAATGAGCAAAAAAACCAAAAAACAAACCCACAAATAATTAAAAGAAGGGGCTGAAGCCCCAAAGTAAGGTTTGGACCCAAAACCTGCAGTGGGAGCAGGGCAGGAACTCAGGGCCGTGTCTTTGCTCAGGTTTCTGAGAGCTGCTGACTCCAGGCAGGCTCCCAAAATTCCCAACTCCTCCAAGGCCAGCTCCCTCTCCTGGTGGGAAAAGCACCGGGAGGGGCTCTGCTGCTCCTGAACGCGGAATTCAGGGAATTCGGGGCAGCCCAGCCCCGGTGAGCGGGGACAGAGGGGACATCAGCACCCCAGGGCCAGGAGGGGCTCCCTGGGTGCTGCTGTGGGACAAAGGGGACACCCACGGGGACATGGCTCCAGCCCTGGTTGGTACCCAGGTGATATTTGTACCCAGGGGATATTTGTACCCAGGGGATGTTGGTACCCAGGGGATGTTGTTACTGTGTGGAATCTTCATTTCTTTCTGCCAGTGCCAGATTAAATGTGTGAGATGTTGTTTCTTGTTGGGACTCCGATGTTTATCAGCTCTTATCTCTGTCCCAGTCTCACAAACCCTGAATTCTGCAGAATTTCACTCCAACAAACTAAAAATGGAGCTCCATGTCTCTCTCTCTCTGAGGCCTTTTAAGGATAAACTGTGCAATTAAGAAATAACACCTGAATTATTTTCACTTTCAGCCCCGGTGGGGCTGGCAGAGCCCCCCTGTGCCAGGCACCCCTTGGCTCCCACAGACTCCTGAGTTTGAACCTTCCAGGGCCATTTCGTGGGGACAGCCACCTCTGTCCCCAAATCCCTGATTTTGGATGCAGAGGGGTTTGGGATTTGGGGGCTGAGGGGGCTCAGCAGCAGGAGCTGTTCCCCAGCCCCAAAAGGCACCAGGGCTGTTTGCAAGGCACACAGAGCGTCTTAAAATCTTCCCAAAGCCCAGGCTTTGAACAAGGTCCTGCTGGAGGCACCAGGAAAAGGCTGAGCTGGGAGCAGAGCAGGGAGGCAAAGGTGCAGGAGCTCAGATGTCAAAGAAATCCACGTGAGCTCCGGAGGGAAAGGAATCCTCCTGCAGGAGCCGGAGCAGCTTCTGGGCTGACACGGAGCTGTCGATGAGCTGCCCCTTCTCCCACAGCCCCTGGAAGTGCTGGCGCATCCCCGGGTCTGCAGTCCTGCTCCGGGCCAGGAGCTGCATGTCCGTGTCCAGAGGCCCTGGGGAAAAGGGAAAACCACCACAAACATCACTGGAGGAGAAAGGAAAATCCAGGGCTTGTTCTCCTCTCTGCTCTGGAGGCAGGCTGGGAGAGCTGGGAATGTTCCCCTGGAGAAGGGAAATACCCAGGGAGTGCTCAGAGTCCCTGGAGGGGCTCCAGGAGAGCTGGAGAGGGACTGGGGACAAGGGACAGAGGGACAGGAGCCAGGGAATGGCTCCCACTGGGAAAGGGGAGCTTGGGCTGGGATCTTGGCAAGGAATTCCTGGCTGGGCTGGAATTCCCAGATTTGCTGTGGCTGCCCCTGGATCCCTGGGAATGTCCCCAGGCCAGGTTGGATATTGGGAGGTGTCCCTGCCATGGGATGGGATGGGATGGGATGGGATGGGATGGGATGGGATGGGATGGGATGGGATGGGATGGGATGGGATGGGATGGGATGGGATGGGATGGGATGGGATGGGATGGGATGGGAGAATGGGATGGGAGAATGGGATGGGAGAATGGGATGGGAGAATGGGATGGGAGAATGGGATGGGAGAATGGGATGGGAGAATGGGATGGGAGAATGGGATGGGAGAATGGGATGGGAGAATGGGATGGGAGAATGGGATGGGATGGGAGAATGGGATGGGATGGGAGAATGGGATGGGATGGGATAATGGGATGGGATGGGATAATGGGATGGGATGGGATAATGGGATGGGATGGGATAATGGGATGGGATGGGAGAATGGGATGGGATGGGAGAATGGGATGGGATGGGAGAATGGGATGGGATGGGAGAATGGGATGGGATGGGAGAATGGGATGGGATGGGAGAATGGGATGGGATGGGAGAATGGGATGGGATGGGAGAATGGGATGGGAGAATGGGATGGGAGAATGGGATGGGAGAATGGGATGGGAGAATGGGATGGGAGAATGGGATGGGAGAATGGGATGGGAGAATGGGATGGGAGAATGGGATGGGAGAATGGGATGGGAGAATGGGATGGGAGAATGGGATGGGAGAATGGGATGGGAGAATGGGATGGGAGAATGGGATGGGAGTATGGGATGGGAGTATGGGATGGGAGAATGGGATGGGAGAATGGGATGGGAGAATGGGATGGGAGAATGGGATGGGAGAATGGGATGGGATGGCATAATGGGATGGGATAATGGGATGGGATAATGGGATGGGTTTTCAAGTCCCTTTCCCCCCAACCCAAGCTGGAATTCCACGATCCCGATGGAAAAGCTGGCTGGGGGATGACCTTTGAGCCCAGCTGCCCCATCCAGCACAGAACCCAGCCTCCCCCGTGCCCTGCAGGGTCAGGAGGGGGCTGGGCTGCAGGAATGCCCGTTCCCAGGGCAGCAGGAGGGGCAGCAGCAGCAGCAGGGAGCTCTCTCCTCACCCGGGGCGTAGCTGAGCACTCGCACCGAGGGCTCCTCCCGCGCCAGCACCCGGAACAGCATCTCCCGGGCGGCCTTCCCCGAGCAGTACAGCGCCCAGCTCGGGAAGGGCTCCAGGGCACACAGCGACGAGATGTTCACCACCGTCCTGCTGCTGCCAGGCCGCGCCCCAAAGGCCCTCAGTGCCGTGCAGGTCAGGCAGAGCGCCGAGCTGACGTTGAAGGAGAAGTAGGTGTTGATCTCCTCCAGGTCGCTGAGGTCCAGGAAGGATTTGGAGATGTCACCCAAGGAGCCTGGGAATGGCAAATGTGGGATGGTTTGGGGTGGGTGGGGTCCTAAAGGACGTCCTGGCAGCACCCTGCCATGGAAAGGACACCTCCCACCGTCCCAGGGTGCTCCAAGCCCTGCCCAGCCTGGGACAGTGCCAGGAAGGTGGAAAAATGAATGGTCCAAAATCCCAGAACCCTTATGGAATCCTGGATCCCCTATGGAATCCTGGAACCCCTATGGAACAGCATGGGCCTTCCTGCAGGCCCAAAATCCCAGAACCCCTATGGAATCCTGGAACCCCTGTGGAACACCACGGGCCCTCCTGCTGGTCCAAAATCCTGGAGCCCCTATGGAATCCTGGAACCCCTATGGAATCCTGGAACCCCTATGGAACAGCATGGGCTCCCCTGCAGGTCCAAAATCCTGGAGCCCCTATGGAATCCTGGAGCCCCTATGGAATCCTGGAATCCCTATGGAATCCTGGAATCTCTATGGAATCCTGGAAACCCTATGGAATCCTGGAAACCCTATGGAATCCTGGAGCCCCTATGGAATCCTGGAGCCCCTATGGAATCCTGGAGCCCCTGTGGAACACCACGGGTGGTTTACACTCAAGATGGGTAAAAGGGCACCCAAGGCATGAAGGGCACGAGGAAGGAGGGCTGGAAATTTGTCTGAAGGTTTGGATTTGGGGAGCAGCGCGATGAGAAGGAGGGGCAGGAGGGACAACCAAGTGTTCCCTGGGAGCAGCAAAGCACTGCCAGGGACCCCTCCCCAATTAATTCCTTTAATAAACCCACACCGGGACGGGCTGATCCCCCCGCAGCTCCTGTTCTTTTATCAGCAAGCCCCGGGGTGACCCGGCTGGCCCCGGGGGCGGAGGGCAGGGCTCGGGGAGGGGACGGGAGGGGACAGGAGGGGACAGGAGAGGACAGGAGGGGACAGCCGTGTCCTACCGGCGTTGTTGACCACCAGCAGGCGGCCGAAGGACGCGTCCTGCAGCAGCTCCCGCAGGGCAGCGCCCGCCCTCCGCAGCCCCTCCGGGCAGCCCAGGTCAGCGGCCACGCACTGCACCCGCAGCTCGCTGCTGCCGGTGGCGCTCCCGGTGGCACTCCCGGTATCCCCGGTGCTCAGCTCGGCCGCCAGCTCGGCCAGCGCCGCGGCGGAACGCGCCAGCAGCAGCAGCGCCGAGCCGGGCCCGAGCTGCGGGGCCAGGAGCCGCGCCAGGCTGCGGCCGAAGCCGCGGGAAGCGCCGGTGATCACGCAGGCGGTGGCGGGCCAGCGCTCCGCTCCCGGTGCCGGTGCCGTTCCCGGTGCCGGTGTCGCTCCCGGTGCCGCTCCCGGTGCCGCTGTCGCTCCCCTTTCCGCTCCCGGTGCCGCTCCCGGTGTCACTCCCGGTGCCGCTGTCGCTCCCGTTCCCGCTCCCGGTGCCGCTCCCGGTGTCACTCCCGGTGCCGCTGTCGCTCCCGGTGCCGCTCCCGGTGTCGCTCCCGGTGCCGCTATCGCTCCCGGCGTCGCTCCCGGTGCCGCTCCCGGTGCCGCTCCCGGTGTCGCTCCCGGTGCCGTTCCCGTTCCCGGTGCCCGCTCCATCCCGGAACGCCGCGGAGGGGCCGTGGGAACGCCCCTGCCCACGTGACCCGCCCCATTCATGACCCCGCCGCTTACTGAATGGGCGCTGGGAGCGCGCGGGCAGCGCCGCCTCCTCTGATTGGTCGGCCACGCCGCGCGCTCGGGGGGGCGTGGTCGGGGAGGGGCGCCCCCTTGCGGCCGCTGTGAGGGGAGGCGGATTCCGTGAGGGAGCGGCGGGAACGGGACCGGCAATGGGAACGGGAAAAGGAACGGGAACGGGAAAAGGAACGGGAACGGGAAAAGGAACCAGGAACGGGACTGGGACCGGCACCAGGAACAGCGACGGGACCGGGATCCGAACCGTCAACGAGCGCCAACAGGACCAGGTCTGGTAATGCGGCTGCGTCCCTGCCCCCAGCGCGGCCGCTCTTGGCCTTCCTTTCCCCCGTTACGATTTTTCCATGTACTTTCCAACATATTTCCCAAATATTTTAAAATCAAAATTTTAATGATTTAAAAAATATATATTTATATTTTTTTTCCCCCTCGCGGGTGTAAATTCCCTGTTATTATCCCCGCCTGCCTCTCCCTCAGGGCACAATTCCCTTTTCCCTCTGCGACCCCGGTTTTGGCACCCAGCCCTGCCGCTGCACCTGTGTGAAAATATTTCATTATTGGCTTTTCGCTGATGGTACAATGAATATTGTGTGTGTCATGTTAGAGAGTGATTCTGTATTAGTTCTCTTAAGTAGTTTTTTTTAGCGTTCAGGAGCACACATCATCACGGGATATGATTATATGCAGATTTTATGCTTTTATTGAGAGCTCTGGGAATCAGGAACAGACCCAAACCTGGCTTTGGAGCTGAATGTATTTTATATTCTATCCTTATATAACTTACATATTAATTATTAAACTTATATTGTTCTATTGTATACATTGACTTTATCCAAGCATGAGTTTCTCGTGATCTTTCTCAAGCTTCTGACCACAGTTTCTCATGATTATTCTTATGATTAAACAGTAATTATATTTAATTAATAAACAATCATCACATCTAACAATTATATCATTTATCATGTACTAGCCACACAGGTGCAGTTCTAGCAAGGTACAAGGCCTACATGTTCCCAGGGTATTTTTTTCAGGGCCTAATAAGCCTAATTTTCCTTCTAACCCTAAATCCCCATGATTTTAAAACCCTTTTACTACCAGTGTGATAAATGTAGTTTTAGGTTACAACATAACGTTAAAATAGAAAGTCTGTGATACAGAATTTGTTACAAGCTTGAGCAGGAAGATGGAATAATCAAGAAACTTTTCACACAGAGATGTCAGTGTGCACCTAAAAAAAATTACTGTCTCCTTATAAGAAAAAACAAACATTCTTCCACCTCTCCATCTTTTTGGAACCACCAAGATTAAGGAGAAGTTGACAAAAACCAGAAAATTTCTTAATTTGCAAGGAATTTATGCATCATGTATGAAATATATGAGTATGAATCAGGCTGTTGCTTTTAAGGTTATTCCTTTGTTCACAAGGGATGCTTTTCATGACTTAGTGTCCAAAAACATCCGGGCATCCATAATTCTTTGCTTTTTATTGTCTTGTAGTTCTCCTAACTCTAAATTTTACTACTCTAATTGCATTACTATTTTGATAATCATTTTATTATTATTAAACTTTTAAAAATTTGAAAAACCAAGTGATTGGCGTATTTCACACCAGGGAGTAAAAACCCTCTCTGGTCACAAAAAGCCCTAAAATCCTTTTGAAAAATAAAAACCTCTGTGCTGAAGGTGCAGAGAACTCTCAGGGAGGGTTTTTCCAAGGAATACCTGGTTTGTATGGAGCGAGCTGGCAGCAGGGCTGGGATTCCCAGCTGTTCCATGCCAGGCCAGATGGTTCCAGGCAGGTAATGGAGCAGGATTTCACTCAATTAAGCAGCCACAGACTGGGCTGGAACCCTGCAGCACTCTAATAAAACATTAAAAATTCATGGCATGGCAAAAACCCAAGAGCGCTATTTGTTTTGCTAAAGCAAATCTTACACATTCAGCGAAATTAAGATCATCAGCAGCAAAATAAGACAGCAAATGTGTATTTTTTTCACAAGTCGCTTCTTGATGGCAGAACTTGCTTCAGTCACTGCCAGTTCCCGCTTTGGCAGCTCCAGTTCCCTGCATCCATCAGGATTGCTGCCCTGCTTCCAGCCTGGCACCCACACGGAGCTGGGAACGGGCAGCTTTGCTGGACTGGTGACTTGGTTTGAAAAGAGGCTGTGAAGGAGGGCAAAAGCCTCCTGTGAAATGGGAAAGGTAAACCCCCTCCCTCCCAAATACCATCATTTCCAAATTAAAAGGCTCTCAGGCAAAGCTATGGGAATGGGAATAACAGGTCTTTACTAGGAAAAAACTAAATAAAAAAAAACAGAGAGAGCAACTTTTTATACAGGCAGATCGTGGTAGGACAAGGGAAATGGTTTTAAACTAAAATAACAGAGATTTAGGTGGGATCTTGGCAAGGAATTGCTGTCTGGGAGGGTGGGGAGGGGCTGGGCTGGAATTCCCAGATTTGCTGTGGCTGCCCCTGGATCCCTGGCAGTGCCCAAGGCCAGGTTGGATCCACCTGGGACAGTGGGAGGTGTCCCTGCCATGGCAGGGGTGGCACTGGGTGGGATTTAGTGTCTTCCCAACCCAAACCATTCAGTGATTTTAAATTCCCACCTCTGTGAATTTAAATTCCCACCTCGGTGAATTTAAATTCCCACCTCGGTGAATTTAAATTCCCACCTCGGTGAATTTAAATTCCCATCTCTGTGCTCAAGCCCTTTGTGCCACAGTGTCCTCCGTGCTGCCAGGGGACACTGCTGGGAGCTCTCCTCCCCAGGGATTGTCCCTGTGCTGCCTGTGGAGTCTCCAGAGGAGCTGTGAAGGCTCTGCAGCGCTTCCCTGGGAACAGCTCCTGATCCAGCCCCAGGTCAGGATCCACCCTGGGATTTTAACCCCCATTCTCTCCACTGCTGATGTGTCTTTTTGATTCTTGGTCCTAGGAAAGCTTCTGCAGATCCCCACCGTGACACTGCCAGAGGACACATTTCCTCCCTGGTGTCACATCCAAAGGGACACCGTGCTGGAGAGTTTCTTGGGGAGCTGGGAAGGGGCTGGAGAGTTCCTGAGGGAGCTGGGAAGGGGCTGGAGAGTTCCCGAGGGAGCTGAGGGGGCTCAGCCTGGAGCAGAGGAGGCTCAGGGGGACCTTGTGGCTCTGCACAGCTCCTGCCAGGAGGGGACAGCCGGGGGGATTTGGGATCTGTTCCCAGGAACAGGGACAGAAGGAGAGGGAACGGCCTCAGGGGAGCCTCAGGGTGGGCACTGGGGGAATTCCTCATGGAAAGGGCAGGGCTGGGGTCCCCATCCCTGGAGGGATTTCAAACCCTGTGGCTGTGGCACTTGGGGACAAGGTCAGTGAGTGGTGGCAGTGCTGGGGATCCTGGAAGTCTTTTCTTTTATCCCCTTCTCATTCCATGAGGTGACAACAGAAGTGTCCCTGCCCTTGGCAGGGAGGTTTGGAGCGAGGTGATCCTTAGGGTCCCTTCCAAGCCCTTCCATCCCACTATTCCACGTTATGGAAACCAGCAGCGTTCCACCTGCACAAGCAGCGCTGAGGGAGGCCAGGTGTGCTCACACAACTGGAGAATTTTATATATATATCCCAAAAACAAAGGCAGGTCACAATCACACCTCAGTGGTGTCCCAGTCTGGGATTCCTGCTCTCCATCCCGCTGTGGCATTCCCCTGCAAGGACAGCACCTGATAAGGTGTGCTGGGAACGGGACATTCCAGCGCTGTTTTCCCAAAAAACTGATAACAGGGGAGGGAGCCGCATCGGCAGCGAGGAGACCTTGGCACCCAGGGGTGCTCCTGCAGGACATCCTGCCGCTGTTTTCGGAGGAAGATCCGCCGTGTCCTTGGATCCCACGGCTCCCGGGGAGGCACCGCTGCCGGCGGGGCCGGGACGGGGCAGGAGGGCTGAAAGGCGGATCCGTGTCCGCAGGAGCTCCCTGTGCTGTGTGCGCGTGTCCTTCCCAAAAATTCCGGGGGCGGACCGTGGCTGGGAGCGGCTGTCACATCGGGCTTAATGTCCCCAGCGACTTTGGGCAGCGGCTTCGTCACAGAGCCCGGAGGAGATTCCTGAAAGTGCCGAGTGGGAACTCCTGAATTTCGGGGTTAATTTCAAGCTTTGGAGTTAATTTCAAGGGTTTGTCACAGAGCCTTTATGGGGCTGAGGATGGGGCAGGAGGAGCAGGGGCTGCCTCTGCTCGGGGCAGGGACACAGGTTCTCTCCTGCTGGGATGTCACAGCGGTGTCGTTGCCGTGGGGCTGTGACACGGGGACTGTGCCGTGGGGCTGTGTCCCCTAAGGAGGTGTCAGAGCCATGGGGCATCACACGAGGCAGTGCCATGGGGCTGTGCCCTCTCCTGGGTACAAAACTGGGACTGCCATGAGGCTGTGTCATTCACGGAGGTGTCCAAGCCGTGGGGCTGTGTCCCCTTCAGGGTTACGACACCGAGACCACCCCCACTCAATCTCCCGCCGCTCCCCCATTCCCGGGGCCGCCCCTCTCCGTCCCTGGGCGGAGCGGCCGTGCAGGCCCGGCCCCCTCCCGAACTACATCTCCCGTGGTCCCGCGCGGGCCCGGCCCCCTCCCGAACTACATCTCCCGTGGTTCCGCGCGGGCCCGGCCCCCTCCCGAACTACATCTCCCGTGGTCCCGCGCGCGGAGCGGCGCCGAGCAGCCCCGGCGGTGCCGCTGCCCGAGCCGAGCCGGGCCGGGCCGGGCGGGGCCGCGCAGGTGGAGCGGCGCCCATGGAGCGGCCGAAGATGGCGGAGCTGGAGAGCCTGGAGACGGCGGCGGAGCACGAGCGGATCCTGCGCGAGATCGAGAGCACCGACACGGCCTGCATCGGCCCCACGCTCAGGTGCGTGCCCCGCCCGGAGCCGCGGGGGGACCGCCGCGGGCACCGCCGGGGGAACCGGCATCCTGCGCCTCCGAGTGCGGGGCTCGGGTGCCGGGGATGCGGAGGGCGGCTCGGGCTGTTGGCGGGCAGGGCTGTGCCGGGCGGCCTTGGGGACACCGCCCGTGCCCTTTGTCAGCCCGGGTCCCGCGGAGCCCCGGGGCTGCCCGGGCTCCTTTGTTCTCCGTGCCGCCCCTGCCCCCGGGACAGCCCGGCTCCATCCCCGGGGCTCGCCGCTTCCCCGCTCCGTCACGTCCTTCCCGTGCCCGCGGAGCCGCCGCTCCTTCGGGCTTTGCTGCTTTCGGGGCGCCCAAGGTTGTGATCATCTAAAAGCTGCATCCCATGAGGAATCGCAAACGTCATTATTTTAGCTCAATTACCCACATCTATGCCCAGTTCTGTCTCGCTGACCGAGTCAGCATCGCTGCCCGGAGGTGCTGGGATAATTCCAGCCCATCCATC